GAACTTTGAAAAAGAAAAAAATGAACATGGTTGCCATACTTCTCTTCTAATTTCCCCAAGAGCAGAAGAAGCCACCCACATCTATCTCAAATATTTAACAAGTTTGAAAAGTCATTCAATGTCACTTAGTCTTTTCTGAGCTAAATAAATGGTCATTCAAAAAACTTATTGAAGTTCAGGATGTAGCCCACTGGTAGAATGCTTGCCTAGCATGTGCTTGGCCACTGGGTTCAATATTCAGCATTGAAAAAAAAAGGAAAAGAGAGAGAAAAAAACCTTTATTGAGCACTTATTCTCTGCTAAGCATTGTATTAAGTATGGGGAGGGTAGGCAAACAGGATTCTGTCCCTTGAAGAGTCTAGAGTCTAGATTGAAAAGCAGACTTCAAAAATTATATAAGGTCTATTATAACAAGTGCTAGATAAAAGATTGAGACAGAGCCAAAGCTCAGAGAAGCCAAAGGAAGCTGTTCTTGTAAGTGGTAAAGACAAGCAAGAGAGTGAAAATAGAAACAAAAGTTCCAGATGCAAAAAGGTATTTTTTGAGACAGATGAGACTGACTGAACTCTCAGTGTTTGAAAGCAGACCCTGGCTGTTACTTGTTTCTGTATCCCCAGGATGAAGAACATACTGGAGACACCAAAGATGCTCAACAACAAAGGGAAGCATTGACTCTGCAGTGACAGACACTCTTGCAAATTGAGGAGAGTGTTTCTTTTTCCTTGCTAAGGTTCAAACTCTAACAAAGGTTTAAACTCTTGACAGATATGTGTGTGAGAGAGAGAGAATGCAGGTGAGAGAGGGGAGAGCCATCTAGTAGACATCCATGAAGCACCTAGAAAGTGAAAAGGTGTAAGTATAGCAGAGATCTCAAAGGGTCAGCACTTAGCTTGCCCCATGCTAGTCTATCTTACAGAAGCCCCAAAAGCACTGAACAAGACTGTAGAATTCAAGCTTGAGGAATCAAGGAATGAATTCAATTTTTTTTAAAAATTTTTCTTTTGTGATTAGGGGATTGAACTCAATATCTTGTACATGCTAGGCAATCACTCCACAACCCCAGCCTAGAAAACTCAATTATGAAACAAGAATATAAGGGGATTTGCCAAAGGGTGATGATATACTGGAGGGAGTACAAAGTCTGTAAAGACTAAGAGCCTAATGGTGGGAATAAGGCAAGGATTAGAGCATTGGACAAGGAATATCACAAAGGATTTAATTTTCTACTAAGGTTTTCCTTTGGACCATGGGTAAGCTGAAATTTCCTTCAGATATTCTAGACTTCTAGCTCTCTCTCTCTCTCTCTCTTTTTTTTTTTTTAGCCCCTGTTTGTTTCTTTTAGGCTGCTTATAACCAATTGCTGATATTTTGTTTAGTTTTTTTCACTGTCTCTAGATTATATACTCAAAGAAAGATCTGTCTTCCTCACCATTTATTCCTAGAATCTAACCTGATAGATCAAGTAGGCACTTGATAAATATCTGTTGCAAGTACAGACTAGAGATTTTCCTCTTCTGTTTTTTTATGTCGTTTTGTGACCGTTTACTATTTTCATTAGTAAAATGTTTCTTGAAGGTATAGTTATCAGGTAGACTAGGTCCTGGGTGGACACAGGAGTGCAAAGATATATATACATGGTTCCTGAAGTAAACAAAGGCTCAAGATGGATAGAGAAGCAGATAAATAATAGTGCAACACAGAAAGTGGAGGGGCACTTCTGGTAGGATGAAACAAAGAAGGTTTTCCAGAAAGGGAAACAATGGAGCTGGACCTTGAAGACACATGCACCAACCATCAAGTTGTGTTTAAGCCTGATGACTGGGGCATGAAATGAACACAGAAGCTTGTTGGAAGTAAGGTTGGACAATGTGTAGCAGCTGGTAAATAAAGAATTGGCCTGCTGCCAGGCGCTGGTGGCTCGTGCCTGTAATCCTAGATACGCAGGAGGCAGAGATCAAGGAAGATTGTGGTTCAAAACCATCCCGCAGAAATAGTTTGCAAGACCCTATCTCGAAAAAACCCATCACAAAAAAAGGTTGGTGGTGTGGCTCAAGGTGAAGGCCCTGAGTTCAAGCCCCAGTACTACAAAAAAAAAAAATTGCTTGCCATGATAAAGACCATAATAAAGTCTAACTCCCATGGATGAACAATGTTGGAGAATTTTAAGCACGTGGGACAAAATAATATTTCCAATAGGAAGGCCATTGCAATAGCCCAGACAAGGTACACTAAGAGTTTAAACTAGTAAGGTAATGAATAGGCATGAAACTATATACCATATTTTTGGAAATAAACATCCATGTAATTTTATAGCTAATATGTTAGAGTTCTGTAACAGAGAACAAAATTGACACTCTGGCACTGGTGGTTAGCTTAGTGGTGGGACACTTGCCTGGCATGTGAAGGCCCCAGTTTGATCCCAACACCACAAAAAAACCAAACCAAGCAACAGCAATAACAAAACCCTACTACTGTGACCACTTTAAGGAGAAAGGATTAAAAAACAGAGTATAAACACTTTACAGAATGTTTAGAATGTTTAGAAGGGTTAAAAAGATCAGTTATAGACTGAACTTTCAGAAATAATTCTCACTGTCAACAGATTTGCTTTTCTTATTGTGATGTAAAACCCATATGATCAATATGGACTTTTCTGGAACAACCAGGCTATCTAGGGAACAGCTGGTATACCAGCAATAAGAGAGTGAAATAGGTAGATTTAAAGAAAGTTGTGAGATTAAGTAGGGAAATAAAAAATAAAAGCAAGGAGATAGTGCTTTTACTAAAAGTGGAAGACATTATTGGGATTTACTTAACAGCTATATACTTCTCCTCTGATCTTTTTCCTCTTCTAACATAGACTCAGTTTTGCCCAGATGCTTTTGTTTGCATTTTGGTGGTCAGCAAAGTTGAATGTGTCCTCTGACACAGAGGTGAAATTATGATTGGATAAGCCAGTATTCTCAAACTCACTGTGCATCAAAAGCAATTAGAGGAGTCACTGAACCACAGTTCTTTGGGCTTCACTCTTGGCATTACTCTTTCCTTAGTGTTTAGTGAAGATTGAGAATTTGCATTTCTAACTAACTTTCAGGTGATGTAAATGCTACTAGTCTGGGAGTGAGAATTTGAAGCAATCATGGTAGTCTAGTTAGTTCCCTTTGTCAATTTAGATATGGGCATGTGACCATGATAACTAAAAGGAAGTCTCCAGCAGGCTTCCTTGCCATGTTTTCCTGTCTAATATATGGAATCATGTTCAGGGAAAGAGACTCTTTTTCCGGTAGACATTTCTCCAGCCATTATGTAACCATGTGAAAGTCATGGTCAAAACCCTAAGGACATCACGTACACACTTGAACAATACCCAGGTCCCTTGATAGCATCATTGATCTACTGAACAGACAGGGCCTGAGACCAACCAAACTTTATCTGAGTTTGTATTATGGAAAATAATAAACCAAGAGTGTTTGAGCTCCTTTTTGTTGAATTGTCTCTTAAGTAGAGCTGAATATATCTCACAGATCCAACTATTATTTTATCAACCAGCTTAGCAGAAAATTAAAGAAACATAATATCTACTGCATGATAAAGATATGAGAGAAAATTTGTTGCAAGTGAAAATGACAATCTTTTAAATATCTTTTGAAAACATTTATAAAAATTAAAGGTATATAAACTATATTAAGGCAGAAATCTTACTCTCTGAAATTTATCTTTTGGAAATAAAAGTAACCTAAGAAGGAAATCTGTAATTCAGTATTGTTTTTTTTCAGTACTGGGGATTGAACTCAGGGCCTTATGAGTGCATTTATGCTATTTGAACTATACTGCAATATGGGACAGTTTTTATCTTAGATTTCAATTCTGTTAATTGGTTTGAATTAAGTAACACTAAAAATGTTACATTTAAACATTCATTTGGTAGGGTTGAAGGTGTAACAATTGCATTGTCTGGGGGAGAAAAGTGGAGGTAAAAGTTGTTAGAGGAGAAGAGATCGGACCTTTATACCTTTAGGACAGAAGTCTTCAGAAAATTCAGGTCTTGGATAGGAAGGACAACCTGAGCCAAAATTTTCAGTAAATGACTGGGGGAGTGGTAGATGACAGAAAAGAGAAAAGAAAGAGATGGCATGAATGTAAATCAGGAAATGTTTAACAGTGTGGTGCGATGGGCATTTTATGAACTGGACACACAGGCTCAAAAACTTGTTACTTTTCCCTGCCCAAATTCTATCCCCAAGTTTCAACATCAGAGGAGAGCTTCAGCTTCATTTGGTTATCCTTTCTGCAGGCTCCAATAGGCCAAATTCTATCATGGCTCTTCTTCCCATATCACTCCGCAGTCCCATAGCCCTAGCAGTCTCTGCTTACACCCATCCTTCAAGGTCAACCAAAAGTCTTTTCTCCTTTACGACTTCCTTGACAGTTCTGAATCCAAGAAGTATGTGTCACAGGTAAGAAATCCTACCACAGTTTAGGATTTCACCACAGATTGTCATTTATTACTCTGCAATGATAAATTTTATTTCAAAATAGCAGTGTCAATAGTTTATCATTCTCTTCAATCTCCCAGCATGTCAACTTCCCATCATTTTTTTTCTCTTCCGTGTCACAGAGAAAATGAAAGAGTTATCTTATTTGTTTTAAAGGGCATCAGCATTAGAATAGTTTTCATCTGTTGCAATATTATAGTCCTTTAATGACTGACACTTTAAGAATCACAATAAAAATAAGTCACTAGAAAAATGAAGCTAACAATAACAAAATGATGCACAAAGTGCAAGCCCAGGTTTTCATTAATAGATTTGACAGTTTTGATATTATCATTTCAAAATACTCTGAACTCCTATAATATTCCTTGTGCTAAAAGATAACAAATAGCTCTTAGAACAGCACTAGAGGAAATCCGTATCTCTTTTAACTTTTTTTCATTCTCCTAGGTCATTTTTTTTTGCGGAAGAGCATTCAAAATATTTTTGTTTTTGAAAAGCAAGTAGAGAAATAGTTCTGGTCGTCGTCTACCGTCTCGCTATAGCCGTTTGAGGGAAGAAGGAGGAAAATTACCCGGTATCACTAGAGTTGTGGAACCAGTAACAAGACTGAGCATCAACTGAGCAGTGAAGGAGACTTATTCTTGGCCAAGAATAAACTTGAAAATCACCTTCTCAACCCTTGGTGGTCACGAGCCAAAGTGAAATTACATTGAGCCAAGCTTACCACCAAGAGCCCAACAGTCACCATGATGCTGAGCACAGAGGGCAGGGAGGGGTTCGTGGTGAAGGTCAGGGGCCTGCCCTGGTCCTGCTCAGCTGATGAAGTGATGCGCTTCTTCTCTGATTGCAAAATCCAAAATGGCACATCAGGTATTCGTTTTATCTACACCAGAGAAGGCAGACCAAGTGGTGAAGCATTTGTCGAACTTGAATCTGAAGATGAAGTGAAACTGGCTTTGAAGAAGGACAGAGAAACCATGGGACACAGATACGTTGAAGTATTCAAGTCCAACAGTGTTGAAATGGATTGGGTGTTGAAGCATACAGGTCCCAATAGTCCTGATACGGCCAACGATGGCTTCGTGCGGCTTAGAGGACTCCCATTTGGCTGTAGCAAGGAAGAGATTGTTCAGTTCTTTTCAGGGTTGGAAATTGTGCCAAATGGGATGACACTGCCTGTGGACTTTCAGGGGTGGAGTACAGGGGAGGCCTTTGTGCAGTTTGCTTCACAAGAGATAGCTGAAAAAGCCTTAAAGAAACACAAGGAAAGAATAGGACACAGGTACATTGAAATCTTTAAGAGTAGCAGAGCTGAAGTTCAAACCCACTATGATCCCCCTGGAAAGCTCATGGCTATGCAGCGGCCAGGTCCTTATGATAGGCCAGAAGCTGGCAGAGGGTATAATAGCATTGGCAGAGGAGCTGGGTTTGAAAGGATGAGGCGGGGTGCCTACGGTGGAGGGTATGGAGGCTATGATGACTATGGTGGCTATAATGATGGGTATGGCTTTGGGTCTGACAGATTTGGAAGAGACCTCAATTACTGTTTCTCAGGAATGTCTGATCATAGATATAGAGATGGTGGGTCTATCTCCAGAGCACCACAGGGCACTGTGTATACATGAGGGGCTTACCTTACAGAGCCACTGAGAATTATATTTATAATTTTTTCTCACCTCTTAACCCCATGAGAGTACACATTGAAACTGGGCCCGATGGCAGAGTTACCGGTGAGGCAGATGTTGAATTTGCTACTCATAAAGATGCTGTGGCAGCTGTGGCAAAAGATAAAGCTAATATGCAACACAGATATGTGGAGCTCTTCTTAAATTCTACCGCAGGAACAAGTGGAGGGGCTTATGATCACAGCTATGTAGAACTCTTTTTGAATTCTACGGCAGGGGCAAGTGGTGGTGCTTATGGTAGCCAGATGATGGGAGGGATGGGCTTATCCAACCAGTCTAGTTATGGGGGTCCTGCTAGCCAGCAGCTGAGTGGTAGTTATGGAGATCAGAGTAGTATGAGTGGATATGACCAAGTTCTGCAGGAAAACTCTAGTGACTATCAGTCAAATCTCGCTTAGATAGAGAAGAAGCACTAAATAGCTAGTACAGAAACAAGAGCTGTGCATTTATGGGAGCTGGATAGAATGGGAGGGATGTCTAGTATATCCAGTATGATTGGTAAATGGGAAATATAATTCTGATCACTATTGGTCAACTTTCTTTCTTTCTCCTTTTTTTAAAGAAAAAGAACAAAAGTTAAGTTTAACAGTTTTGCATTACCAGCTTGTGATTCATGCTTACTGTAAAGTGGAAGTAAAGATTGTTTTAAAACATTAAAGCTCAGTAATTCTGAACACTGAAACATTCACCTAGGACATAATAACAATGTTCAGTATTGACCATAACTGTTAAAACAACTTTCAGCTTTCCTCAAGTTATGTTGTAGGAGTGTACCTAAGCAGTAAGCATATTTAGGTTAAAACAGTTTCACTTATGTTAAATGTTGCTCTTATACCACAGTACATTGAAAACTTCAGATGCATGTTGCAAAACACGCTTTTCTGTAAAAAACTCAAATATAGGAGCTGTGTCTACGATTCAAAGTGAAAACATTTGGCATGTTTGCTAATTCTAGCTTTTCGGTTTAATATCCTATATGGCATGTGAGTGTACACTTTTCCTTTTTTTTTTTTTTTAAGATCTGGGACAATTTTGGGATGTTATATCAATACTTTAGGAGTTTGGTCATGTCGTTTGTATGAGAAATTTTGAGGCTTTGATTTAAATCTTTCCTTGTATTGTGATTTCCATTTGGGTGTATTGTACTAAGTAAAACTTGTTAAATAAATCTTCCTCTTAAAAACTGGAAAAAAAAAAGAAAAGCAAGTAAAGAATTGATTTTCTAATTGTATTGGTCAATAAACTGAGCATCTTTCATCATGGTAGGAAAAAAATAAATTTTTCTTTATCCTTCACAGTTCTTAGTTGGGACAGATCTCTGTAACAGAATACAGAGCAAGAAGAGACAAACAAAAAGGTTTATTAACATGCATACCTCATTTGTCCAGACGTTCCTCAACTTCTTGTGGGGTTGTATCCCAGTAAACCCATCATAAGTTGAAAATGCATTTAATACAGCTAACCTCCCAAACATCGCAGCTTAGCCTAGCCTATTTTGCTTGTGCTCAGAACACTTATATTAGTCTATTGTTGGCTAAAATCATTTAATATAAAGCCCATTTTATATACAGCAACCATGCGATCACATGATTGATTGGAAGTTTCACCTCACTGGTGCTGCTGCTCAGCCCAGAGTTTCATATCACACATTGCTGTCCTAGGGAAAGATCAAAATTCAAAGCACAGCTTCTGCTGAATGCACATAATCTTTGCTCATAAGGTTAAAAAATCTTAAGGTGACCATGATAAGTCAAGGATTCATTATGATTATCTCTTATACATGGAAGATACCCAGAGAAATGAGTATCTCTCCAGAATCGTCTTTGAATTCAGGCTTAGATACCATCACTGTTGATGCAAAGGCAGATGAGTATAGTAGTTGTGGGTATATAAAAGGAGATGGTCAGAAAAAGTAGAATAAACAATGGTTAGATTTGCTATGCTGATTAAGTCTATGCTTTCATCATTGATTGGAGTCACTAGTGATTCAGTCATTCTTTTTTTCCTGGCACACAAAGGGAGACAAACAGTTTTTCAGATGGAGACTGCCTGTATAAATTTCCCTTATTAAGAGGTCACTTATTCGTTTTTAGAGCTTCTATGAGTCTGCAGTTTCTCAAAATAATCTGTTCAAAATTATCTTAAAGAAGCATATTTTGTCCAACACAGATAAGTTCTGAACTGGTTATAACTTGTATAGATGTCAAGGATGGTGCATGGTAGAGGCAGTGTCATTGTGTGTATGCATGGCAGAAAATCTTTCAGAGGACCTTTGCTGTGTGACCATTACCCAGAGTGGTTACAGAACCAACGCCTACTATTGTGCAGCCTTGTCCTTGACACTGAGTGCTTGAAAACCAAAGGACTTCCTGAAAATACCCTATCCTTTCACTGTTTATCAACACTGTCTCCAGAAACCCTTAAATACTACAATCTTTATGACCTTTACAAAAGTCTTGCACTATTTCTACTAAACAGAAGTCCAGCTTCTCATAATTGGCAATTGTTTTCATGTACACAAAGTTCAGCTTGGCAGTTTCCTCACATGTTTTTTTTTCACAGTAAAACTATGGGGAAGTTTTGAGCTCTTTCCCTTGTCAACTTTGGAGTTTAACATATGAGGAACTAAAAAAAGCTGTCCACTTATCTAGTTTATCCCTGGCAGAAGTTGCTAAACAGATAGGCCAGCTTTTAATGTCTTAGTAGGGTTGCCAGATTAAACAAATATCAATACAGGAAACTGAGTTGATAAGAGTCACATAAACAACAACAAAAGTTTTAGTATGGACAGGGGACTTGTCCCTTCTATGAGCCATACTTATACTAAAAAATTACTCTCTTATTATCTAAAATTCAAATGTAATTGAGTGTTCTGTATTTGTTCTGGCAACACTATCTTACATAAATTATCTTATTAGATGGGCCACTTTTCCTATGTTACTGCTGTGGATTTTTTTTTTTTTTGTCTTTTTTATCTTGTTATTCTTTCTCTTTTCTTTTCTTTCTTTTTTTTTTTGACTCTTTTATTCACTATTACAGTACACTTTGTAAAAGACTGTCAGTCCCTAGCTCATTATCAATGATATCATTAACATCACCATAGCTTTAAATTATGTAAAAGCAGGATTAGAAGTACTGACAAATTGTAAAGAGGCTCCTGAGGAAGTTTGGATCAAATCATGATCAAGAAAGGAAAGGAAGGAACTGTAAACCTCAGTTTGAAGAGAATGCTCAGCATAGTGGATGCTCTGAAATGGAGACAGACACAGAATACCTTTGGGAGACCAATGGGCACTCAGTCCTCACATTTCACAGATGGAGAAACTTGAACACAAAGAAAGTTAGTGACTTCTTGAGGGGGCAGGAAGCAGCTGTGCAAAGGAATGGGGGAAGAGAAGAGAAAGAAAATCTTCTGAAAGCCATTTTTACCTAGTACTGGAGATGGCAGACATCACCAATATGTGGAAATTTTATCGAAATGTTTTTCTTCTAAGCAGTGGGAATTTTATCTCTACAATCCCACCCTTTGTAAGCAAAAATAATGAAACCAATATATTCTAAAATTTGAAAGGGATACTGAGAACATTATTCCAACTACTTCATTATATTGGTTGAGGAACCAAAGGCAACCAGTTGTATGACTTTATCAACTTGTATAATTTATAGGAGTCTATGTGGGTCTAGAACTAAGGATTTTTGTTTTCCAATGTTTTTTCTGAGCTGATTTTAAGTTAAAAATTGATCCATACACTACAGGAAAAGGACAGAATGTGTCCTCTCAATCAACTATATGAATGGATAGGTGAAATACCTTTTCTTATTCAGCATAAGGATCATGGTCTACACTGCCATAACAAAAAGCCTGGTTAACAAGAGCAAAGCATAACAAATTTATGTGATCAAAATTTTATGTGACAAAGGAGGCTTCAGAATGAAGACCCAGCGAAAACTGTCCATTTTTATGCTTCCATTCAATGAAGAATGGATAGCTGCGTAGAAATGTGATTGTTCAAAAGGTTATGACCTCATAGTCTCAAAGACTGAGAGGAAGACCAGCAAGGCCTGTCTGTTCAGTGTCTTGGTGACATCTCTGGCTAGCACTCCTTCCCCTCAGGTGTAGATCTAGACCCCTTCTGGAGTGAGGGTCTTACAATCTATTATACCAGGCAAGTCAGGGAATTTCTTTATGGCTGTGTTTTATATAGAAAGGTGGTAGAATATTATGACAATATTTCTAGAATTCATGGATGGCTTTGGGGGACAGTGATTTTAGTTTCTTTGACCTACCTTGGGGAAAAATAATTCAAGCTAGCTCTGGCAGAAGGGCAGCAGGAGAAAGAAGGGCAGGAGAAAGTCTGAAAGACCTTGCTTCTGAGCCCTTTTCATTCAGTTCAAAGGATTAGGCATCCCAAGGAGCCATACTTGGGGGTCACTTATTGAGCCCCAACATAAGGAATGGGACTCCAATGCATTGGAGAATAATGAAAACTTAAAATGTCCCTATATTTTCAGCAAATTTACACAGCTCTAAGCATGGAGTCTGATCTTTCTGTTAAAGAATAACTAATTTTTTAAAAACAGAATCATTATATATATACAACAAATGTGTCAAATTTCATTTTGTTAATTAATGAAGGAACTGATAGGATGTTAGGATTACTTTAAATGATGGCCTGATTTATAGAGATAATATGTTATCTGTTTGAGTGTTATAGGAGTGAATTGTTTCTCTCCCAAATTTGGATGTTAAACCCCTAATTCCCCAGAAGACTGTAATGGAGCTAGTACAGTGACTTAAGTAGATGATTAAGGCTAAATGAGGCTGTAGTGGTAGAACCCTGATCTGACAAAATGGGTGTCCTTGTAAAAGCATCAGAGATCTCTCTGTCTCCACCATGTGAGGACAGACACAATGAGGTGATATCTACAAGCTACAAAGAGAGCCTTCACCAGAACCCGAGCATAATTGGCCCCCCAGTCTCAGACTTCTAACCTCCAGAAGATGAGAAAAAAAATTTCTGTTGCTAAAGTCACCTAGAGTATGGCATTAATCAGCCCAAATTAATTAATCCGGTGAGAAAATCCCTTTGCATTGCCTAGATCAGGAGTCATTTGCATAACTATGGATAGAAAACATTTCTCTTTTGTATAAGTTAACTTCTCTCTATGCAGAGTTGTAAAAACCAAGTCAAAGATAGATAAAGGCACATAACAGTGTAGAATTAGATAGTCTCATAGGTTATATCATTCCATGGAAAGACTACACAGTGATCACTTTTCCTCATAATAAATTCTTCTATAATCCATCCCCACATTTTTTATGAAGCTACATCTGAAAGTAAATATGTAACCACTGGAGGCTGCTCCATCTTTACAGCTTCCCTTTTGCAGTCTTCTA